TAATGTGTGTGTGTGTATATTTTTTTTTTTAAGTAATTAGCTCATGTAGGCATGGGGAGTTAAGTCTGAATTCTGTAGGGCAGGCCAGCAGGCTGGAAATGCAGGCAAAAGTTAATGCTGCTGTCTTGAGTCTGAAATCTGTAGAACAGGTTGGAAACATAGGGAGGATTTCTATGTTACAGACTTGTGATAGAATTCCTTCTTCTCCAGGATACCTCAGTTTTTGCTCTTAAGGCGTTTTACTGATTGGTTGAGGCCGACCCACATTATTGAGGCTAATCTCCTTTACTTAAAAAGTTAACTGATTGTAAATGTTAATCACATCTACAAAATTCCTTCACAGCAACATATGGACTAGTGTTTGACCAAACAGCTGGGCACCATAGCCTAGCCAAGTTGACACATAAAATTACTCATCATATATCCCTTCACACATTTTTAAGTTGACCCCATAAGTTTAAATAATGGCAAAAAATATATTTTATTACATATTATAAATATAGACATTTAAAAATAAAACTAGTTACCCTATGTTCAGATGTATCGAATGAAATCTAATGATTTAATTGCCAACACTATCAGTTGGAAAATACATGAACAAATGCTCTTCACTAGTAGTGAATTTTATATAAGTCGTTTTTCTTCTTGAACTCATTTATTCCACACCTCCATATAATTTTATTATGATGCAATTATTTTTATCTTGAGAGTATTTTATTGATCATACTTATACTGGTTTTTCACAATAAAAAATAACTGTATAAATTTTTTATAATTTAAATTTCCTTTGACTATAACACTCTGAATGTTATGTGTTTTATTTACATTTCGTCAAATCCTTGGGGCTACAAATTTAGCCCTTTCTGCTTTGGAAATGTCCTCCATATAACCTAAGGGGCTGGGTGGGTCCTTATTGTCAACTAAATCAGACTTAATTTCTAACAGAGAAGTCTGACTTCATTTTTTAATTCAAATAAACAGGTTAACATGCATTCCTGTGACAAGTCTCTCTCTTCTGAATTTGGATTCTAAGACAGAAACATAAATCCATTTAGGAGCTTTGTCTAGAGTTTATCATTTGGCCAAAATAATGCTCTGCTGCCTTTATTATTTCTTTTTTTAAATTTTATTTATTTTGTTGAGAATATACACAGCAAAACATACACCAATTCAACAGTTTCTTCATGTACCATTTAGTGACATTGATTACATTCTTCAAGTTATGCAACTGTTCTCATCCTGCTTTTCTGACTTGTTCTTCCCCCATTAATATACACTCATTGCCCTCTAAGATTCCTGTCTAATATTTCAAGTTGCTTTTGTAACTTTGATCCCATATAGATAGTTCTTAAAAGAATATAATGCTCAAGGCAGACATTTTTTACAAGTTAAGCTAAACTATTGTTCAGCTTTAAGAAGACTTAAGGGTATATTTTTGGTTTAAGGTTTAAAGATTATCTCAGGGCAATAGCTTCAGAGGTTATCCACCTTTATGGCTCCAGGAAGTCTGGAGTCCATGAGAATTTGAAATTCTGTTCTACATTTCCCCCTTTTGAACAGGATTCTTCTATAGAATCTTTGATCAAAATGTTTAGTATGGTAGCTGGGCACCATCCGGTTCTTCTGGTCTCATAGCAAAGGAGGCAGTTGTTCATGGAGGCAATTAGCCAAACATTCCATATCCTCCTCCTATTCTTGACTCCTCTTCTTCCTGTGTTGCTCCAGGCAAATAGAGACCAATTGTTGTGCCTTGGCTGGCTGCTTGCAAGCTTTTAAGACCCCAGGCACTATGCAATGAGCTAGGAGGTGGAACAGAAGCACTAAACATATTATTAGGCCAATTAACTGGGATGGCCCATGAAACTGTGACCTAAACCTCCAAACCAAGGAACCAAATCCCATGAGGTTTGTGGTTGTATGTAAGCAGCCTCAGTAGCTACTCTTTTTTTTTTTCATTGTTGTAAATATATCTACCACAACTTTTGCCAATTCAGCTTTTATAGGTGTACAACTTATTGACAGCAATTACAATAATTGGCTATGCAACCATACCCTTAATTAATACAATATTTCCATTACCACTAACCTCCACTTTTCCCCCCTCCCTCGCACCCATGGTAACCACCAATAAACTTTGTTCTCTATACACTTGGTCTTTTCTTCTTCTTTTTTATTTTTAACAATATTTGTCCTTTTGTAATTGACTTATTTCACTCAGCATAATGTATTCCAGCTCCATCCATATTGTAGCATGTATCAAGACTTCGTTTCTCCTACTGACTGAGTAGTATTCCATTGTATGTATGTACCATCTTTTGTTTATCCATTCATTTGTTGATGAGCATTTAAGTTGTTGCCATCTTTTGTCTGTTGTGAATAGTGCTGCAGTGAATATTAGTGTACAAGTCTCTGAATCTCTGCTTTCAACTCCTTTGGGTATATACCTTGAAGTGGAACTGCTGGGTCATATGGTAGTTCTATTTTTAGTTTTTTGAGGAACTGCCACATGATCTCCACAATGGCTGTACCATTTTGCCTTCCCATCAGCAATAGATAAGGGTTCCAATTTCCCAACGTCCTCTGAACAATTGTTATTTTCTGTTATTTTGTTTCTTTTATCTTAGTCATCCTAGTGGAAGTGAAATGGTATCTCATTGTGGTTTTGAT